TTACATGTGTCCATTATTATTTTTATCCCAGGCAAAATGGTGGTTTTATTTTTCCAATTTGGGAGGCAGGTGGAGAGAACCATGCTTTGCTGTGGAAATCTTAATTCCTCTTGTTCAAAAGACTCCTGGGACAAAAGCTAGCCCTAAAGATGCTGACCATTTAAAAAAATAGTTATGTCGATATATATAATATTTATACTGTGAGAGGTACCCTTGACAAGGTCTTACCACACCGTGATCCTACCGCCAGCCACTCAGCCAGCTGGGGATGCGGTGCAGGCGGGCATACCGAGCATGTTCAGGTCAACCTGAGGTCCAGACCCAGGCCTGCCACGTGGCTCCAGTATCCAGCAGTGGCATGCGCTGCCTGTGACACCCAGCGGGGCCCACTCTCATTCATGCACGTAGAGTGCTAGCCCAGCTTCGTGGTGAGGGGGGTGTGGACTGAAGGAGGGAGCTGTCATTCATTTGATAAATATTTAATGAGTAGCTCCTCTGTGCTGGGCACTAAGTGACATAGGATGCACCCTGCACTAACAAAGCTCAGACTTCTTTTTTCAAGAGGGATTTTTGCTATAGGGCACGTGCACTCATGGAGAGACAGAGACAGAGATTCAGAAAGCAAGAAATTCCCCCCAGAGGAGATGGCCACGCCGCAATCCCTTATCCTCCATTCTCCTCTTGGGATCTTGGGCACACAGGCACATGTGTCCTGCTTGAGTTTGAAGCCAGTGGGTTCAGGACTTGAATGCAGTCTATTATTTGGGGGTCCAGCAATGGAACCATTATGCCAATTGCTGGTCCTACAAAGCTCAGACTTTGTGTGAGGAGAAAGGGAAGCAGTATGTCAGTATTATGAATATGTCACAGAAACAAGTACCATTGTCTGAAAGCTTAGGAGAGGTAGTGGGGTTCAAAGAGGAGATGACATAGGATGTGGATCTTGAAGGTTGAGTAGGAGCTTGGCAGGCAGGGATGGTCATATTCCCCTTACCTGCACATTTATGCACCAGTGACAGCAGTCATTGTCCCTGTCTATTTGATCAGGCACAGTCACTGAAACTGATTGTCACGTTCGACAGACAGCGCCATAAAAATGTGGAAGTGTCAGTTTGCCTCCCTGTTGAATAGGGAGAACATCAACTACTGGGAACCACCGAGAGAATGAATCAATTAATGTGCTTTGCAAGAGCAAGTGTTCAGTTATCAGAAAGCCTCCAGGGACCACGTGGAAGGAGCTGGAACATGGGGAGAAGAGCAAGCAGCCAGCCAGAGGAAGCAAATGGATCGGACTCTATCAGCCTGTGATGGATTGCTCTTCTGTCACAATTACCTCACCCCCAGCAGTTTCAACTTAAGGCTTGCTCCATATGCTAAAAGCAAATTTAAAACCAATTTTTGATTAAAAAATACATTAATTAAAAAATGTATTAAGCTTTAGGTCAAGTGGCTTAGCTGATAGGATAAACCGATTGGGATCCAGGGGAAACAGGTTTGCCTGGTTGGAGAATGTGATATCAAAGAACAGAAACCAAACAATTCTAGAGGGAAAAACCATGGAATAGTTTTCTCTCCTAGTTATAAATGGCTACAAGGGAAAAAGCCTTGCAAACAAATAGAAATTCAGGGGAAACTGAGGAGGGCTAACATGGTATTTTGTTACTATTAGCAAAATTCAGACATGAGAACGCTTGGAAGCCTTCATTTCCAGTGGGGGCTGTGATTAGACCTTTATTGGTAGATATGTAGAGTGTCACCCTTGCAAAGACTCCAGATAATGAGATTATAGAGGTCGTTCTAGAGAGCACTGCCATTTGAGAGAAATGTAGGAACCAGAAACTAAATTGGCTCCATTAAAATAAAACCCCATGCCAGCAGGTGGGGAGATGGTTCAAGAACTGGACTCCTGCATGGCTGACTGTAGGGTGAGCCCTGGACCTGGTGGTTTGAAATTCATGACGGGCACATGTGCATGCATGCCCAAAATCCCAGGAGGAGAATGGAGGAGAAGGAATTGTGTTGCCTTATTATTATTATTATTGTTTAATTCTGGCCTGGATTAACTATACCTCCTTGGTTTCTTATCATATTGATTGTGCAGCCATTGTGGCATTTAATGAAGTGATGGAAACTCCTGAGAGCAGGGACTTTATCTTGCTCTTCTTCTAGGGTCCTAGGTCAATGCATAACATATTTCAGGTGTTAATTACTTATTTGTTCAATGAGTGAAATGTCGTTTACATTACAGATGCTACCATCACCCAACAAGCATCTACTAAATGTCTAAGCACTAGATACTGTTTTGGGTCTAGGGATGCAAAGATGGAGGGACTCAGTCCAGCTGAGGAGATTCTTCTTCTGTACCTTTGCCCATGTGGTGCCCTGTGCTGGGAAACATAAGACTTTGTATAATAGAGAAATTTATAATGGTATATTTGCTAAACTTTGGTTTGGCATTTTGCTATGATTATACATTTTTCTGTTAGTCTCCCCCTTGGCTCCTCTAAGAGCATCTGAAGAGAAATACAGTTGATGTTCCACATCTGCAGGTTCCCTATGCCCAGGGCCTGTATCCATGGATTCAACAAACTGCAGACAGAAAATGTCCCATTGTTGCTGACATGCACTGTGTAGTTGGGCCTCTAATGTCTGTGTCTGTACTGTTGTGACTGTACTGCTGCACCTGTACTGTTATGTCTATACTGAGCAACTTGTCATTATTCCCTAAAAAATACAGTATAACAACTATTTGCATAGTGTATATGTGCTATTAGGTATTGTAGGTAATCTATAGATGACTTAGAGCATATGGGAGGATGTGCATAGGTTATGTGCAAATACTGTACTTTTTTATATAAGACTTGAACATCTGCAAATTCTAGTTTTCTTGGGGGGGGGGGCTGGAATAAAACTCCCATGATGCAAGACTGACTATATAGTTATCTGCTTTTTTTTAAAGAATCTGTCAGGCTACTTGACCCATACAAATGCTCAATGGAATGTCTGCTAATAGTTGACATTATTTACAGACACGATTTTCTTGATACTGGTCATCTATGCTAGCCACATCTCTGTTTTTCTGAGCTGGATAATAAGATTTAGATACCACTTTTTTATCTTTTTTTTTTTTTTAATTTGGGTTACCTCAGTCTTTAATACCAAAGTTGCTTGGTTCTTGTAGAATGAAGAATAAATGGGATTATAGAGAGGGCACCTAGACAGCTTTAGGATAAGCAATGCTCTTCCTTGGGCCAGTCCTGTAGCCTAGTGGTTAAGGAAGCCAAATCTCACATGACTGACCAGAGTTTCAACTCTGATGCTGGTAGCTTGAAAAATACCCTGGGGGCACATGCACACATGTATGTGCATGCCCCAAATCGCCACAGGATGGAGAAACAAAGGAGAAGGGGTTGCGGTACGACCATGCCCCAATGGGGGATGCTTTCTCCCTCTCTCTTTGGCCCTCTCTGATGAGCCCACATGACCTCTTGCAATTAAAAAAAAAGAAAAAGACAACCTAAAAACAGGGCTAGCAGATGGTATAGTGGTTAAGGCGCTCGACTGCCACATGACCAACCACAGTTTGAGTCCTGGACCCAGTGGCTTCAAAGTTAAGCTGGCTGTGTGTGCGTGCATGTCCCAAATCCTGAGAGAATGGAGGAGAAGAGATAGTGGTGTGGCCATCACCTGCCACCCTGCATCTCATTTTCTGACTCTGTCTCTCCAGCAGCACACACGCCCTAGAGCAAAAATCTCTAATAAACAAACAAACAAACATACTAAAACACTATCAATGACAATAAAAGAATGTTCTTCCTCACCTTGCTGCTATTGTTTTCAATTACATACCTGTTAGAGTATCAGTCCCAGGGAGTCTTGTCCTTGTCTTTGGTCATAGCGGCATTTGGATGTAAATTGCTAGACTAACCTTACTCCCAGAGCCTCAGGCTTCACCCTCCTTAGCCACAGTGATCCTGTGGCAGGGAACTCCTGACATCAGTACCCAGTAAGCTCATGTTCGAATGCTTCTGGGCTAAAATAAAATCGACAGCGAGCCTTCTTGGCTGCCCCTGCTATGGAAATGGCTATTCAGTCCTCAGTCTCCCACTATGCTCCTGGCCAACAATTAGGAGCTGAAAAGAAGACCACTAGTTATTTATTCAGTTATGCAAATGTTAGATAAAAGCAGGTCCCATTTACCTTACTGGGATACACTTCTTTATGGTCTGATTTTAGAGCATTCTGATCCTTACGATTCTCTATTGTAAAAATAGAATGTTCTGAAATTTCTAGGTCTATTTACCAGGGTCCTATCAATAAAGTGAGGAAAGGATTTATCTGCATAAATTTGGTGTTAAACCCTTGTTAGCATCAAAAGAAAAAGGATGAGCAAATTCATCTATTGTGTTCCAAGTTTTCACTCCTTTCCCTAAGGTTTGGTTGACCATCATTAATAAAAAAAAGACAACATATATGCATTTCCCTAACCCTGATGGAGCAGATCAGTGAGTAAGACACCGTAAACACGTTCGTTGCTCAATCAGTACTGAAATACCACAGTTTATGATGTTGCTGAAACTAGTGCGACCCTTGCATAAGCCATGCATCTGTGCACGTCCTGCGTGGAGATGGTTCTCACCAAACATCCTAAACAAGAGCATTTTTTAAAAATGAAGGTAGGGTTGGTGTGGATTCTCTGATTTAGATGGTTAAATTGTTCTCTCTCCCCTGTAACCTCATGCTAATGTGCCTTGTCTATTCCATACTCCCCTGGGAAACACTATCAGGGAAATACTGACACATCCCAAATGATCACTGGGAAGTCTACACCCTACCTGAGGAGGGAGGTCATTCTGGGAGAAGCCAGAGCCCAATTCCTGGCTGTAGGCTACCAGGCTGCCACTCGTTTTTTCAGAGTAAAACTCGTGATCTCCAGGACACAACTCCAGTCCCAGGGGTGTCAGAACCCTGCTCAGAGGAATGAGGAGGGCCGTGTGTACCTGAGTAACTGTTCCTGAGGCTTCACACAGCGTGCTGCACTCGCCTTCATGGTACTCTTCCTTACAGTCCCGGCAAAAGACAAACTGCAAGAGAACACACGGGACCCCTGTTAGAGGTTAGAGACAGCTTGAGGCATTCAGCCATAACGTGATTTTCCTCTTCCAGACTCGTCGTACTGGTACGGCGTTCCTCTGACTTGTACGATGGTTTCTATGCCAGTCTATTCTGCAAAGAGAAATTCAGTTGTGTTGGATGGAGTTGCTCACTCTTTACTAAGAGTGTTCCAAGTGCTGCAGGAGGGGATGGAGATGAACGTGAGTCACATTTCCTTACTTCAAGGTATTTCCAGTCTAGTGGAAGAGAGAGGAATGCAAACAAAACTTGTAGCGAAGTGTCACTGGAGTTGGAACACAAGAACAACTTCACCGGGGAGTGCCACACTCAACCTTCATTTATATCATAGAGGACTAGTATGTCCATGTCAATGGGCTTAATTTCCTCTTGAAAACCTACTACGGAAAGAAGAAATGGGCTGCTGCTGTGGGCTGAAATGTGTCTCCCCAAATGTACCCTTTGAAACCCTAACTCCCAGTACCTCAGGATCTAACTGGACTTGGAGAGAGGGCCTTTACAGTGGTAATTCCAGTAAAATAAGGGCACGAGGGTGTGGTCTTAATCCAATATGAGCAGTGTCCTCATAAGAAGAGGAGATTAGGGGGTCAGCAGGTGGCGTAATAGTTAAGGCACTGGACTCCCACGTGGTCAACCGTGGTTCGAGTCCTGGACCTGGTCACGTGTGTGTGTGCATGCCCAAAATCTTGAGAGAAGATAGAGGAGAAGGGACTGTGGCATGGCCATCCCTCCCGGAGGGGTGATTTTTCACTTTCTGTTTATCTGTCTCTCTAACAAGTAAGTACATGTGTCCTATAGCAAAAATCTCTCTCTCAAAAGAACCCAACAATGGCGCGCCCCCCGCCCCTGGGCCCTGCGCGGCCCCCCGGGCCCTGCGCGGCACCCCCC